GGTCGAGAATTTTGAACGTGGTAGTCATAGCTGCTGGCAGGAAAGCCAAATTCTGTAGGCGAAACGTCGCCCGAAGAAAATTTCGTTTCGCTACAACGGAGGTTGGCATGCGAAGTCGAAAACTTCGCTTTCGGTGACAAAGTAAACACGACACGGCGAGGCCGGACAAATTGTACAAGTCGGGCGCCCGAGGCAACCGGTTGTCAAAAGAACTTACGACCGGTCCGCGTCGATGTGGCTTATCAATCAAAATCAAAACCGGAGGCGAGCGCGCCCGAGCAGGCACGGGGGCAAGGGCGAGGGGGGTGGGGGGCGATTTGGGGCGCAGCGAGGCCCCGGGGGCCCTGCCCACGCAGGACCGCTAGCGCCGCGCCGGAGACGCCGAAGACGGGGGACCGCCCGGTCTGTCGACGCTAGGAACAACTTGTAACAGTAATTACGCTCCTGTTCTCTTACCTTCCTCGCAGTGGCGTGGCGTGCTTTGCGATTTATCGATTGTTATGCCATTTAAACCTATGTAAAAGGATCGATAAACAGGGTGTTCGAAGCGAACACCTTAATAATCGATTCTCTACCATAGGTTTAAATGGCATGACAATCGATATATCGCAATTCACGCCACGCCACTGCTTCCTCGACGCACGGGGACGGTGCGGTGCGTACACTGCCGTCCTAAGGAAGAACGCCGTATGAACATTCCAGAGTTGTCAAATTTCCTTCGATAAAATTGTTATTTTTTAAGAAAGTTATCAATATTTTTCCTTTAAATTTTCAGAATCATAAGGTGAAATGGAGATGTTGCATGTGTGAGGAATTTGCGATTTGACTGTTGATTCGTACGTAAAAGTTCGCGAGAAACACGATGGTGCCACTGGTTTTTTTTGAAATCAACTCCCAAGCTCAAAAAAAGCTTTCAAGTTGAGGCCAAAATGGAGGGGATATCCCACGCTATCCTGAGAGTCCACAGTCCACATCTACATCAAGACAAACTCTCCATGCAAAAGATAGGGAGCAAATACATTAGCAGGGCTGCCACTTTATTTGGGGACTCCAAAACTGAAAGCACGGCATCACTGCTAATGTATTTGCTCCCTATCTTTGCACAGAAAGTTTGTCTTGATGTAGAGGTGGACTCTCATAGGGTAGCGTGGGATATCCCCTCCATTTTGGCCTCAACTTGAGAGCTTTTTTGAGCTTGGGAGTTGATTTTAGAGAATACCAGTGGCACCATCGTGTTTCTCGCAAACTTTTACATGAGAATCAATGGTCAAATCGCAAATCCCTCACACATGCAACATCTCCATTGCGAACAAAATTAGCTGAAAAATTGGAAGGAAAACATTCAAAAGTTTACCAGGAAATTCGCGTTTTACCAAAGATAGTTTGGCAACGCCTGAAGTTTCATACGGTGTTTCTCCTTAGCACGGCAGTACACTTCTCTCTACATTTTTATACGGGCCGCGTCTGCCAGACGCAGTTCCAGCTCGAGCAGTGAGAGACTGATTAATTGCTCATGGTTAGCTAATGAAGTATGAGTCGGTGCGCTTGCGCTTGACACTTGACAGGTGAGCTGTTGTGGAGTTGTTGTGCGTTGGTCAGGGGTATTGAGGTGATTCGCCCCGGAGAGTTGTTCAGGTCCGGCAGGCGCGAGATAAGTCGCATCATTTGGGTCAAAAGTCTAGACAAATTATGATCACTTGCGAATAAAATCATGAAAAAACTCTGGTCACGGAAAAAACTGATTTTACATTTAAAAAAATGCTAACTCAACATTGAGTTTGTTCATCTAACCTTGGACGTGGTTAACTGGATCATTTTTTTAATTGTAAAATCAACATTTATACTTGTCGCGCATTTTTTTTACATTTTAAGAACTAAGGCAGCATTCAATTTTTTTCCACGTGCTATGCTACGAGGGCAGTATATATACATGAAATTTTTCGAGTTTTTTTTTCTTTTTCTTTTTTTTTTGTAGTTCTACCTGGAGAAAAAGTGGCGAATCTTATCGAAGATATGACAATTTAAGCATCTTGTTCCACCGAATCTGAGAGAAAAAAATCAGGGGTTTCGACTTCCATCCGTTTCGCGCTACTACCCCACAAGGGGTAGATTTCGGCGGAATTTTTCGTTGTCTTCGCCTTTCAAAGCGATTAATGGAAATAAATGGATGCATATGGGATATTTAATATTCCATGTGACGTTGATTTCAAATACTCATCACATTCACTGGAGATCTGATAGCCTGGAGAGACTTTGTGATATGATGTGGCCCGTTTGAAAATCTCGCTTTCCCGACTTTTCCACTGCGCTAAAAATGCACAGGCAATCCCCCGTTTCCGGGTGGAACGCACCCGACACTCCGATCGAGTGCAACAAATTTCCTATTTCAAAATCCGTCACAAAGGGCACAGAGTGCGCAGGCTGCTGACGTCCACGGCGCCAATGACGTCAGGGCAGATCGCAAAATGGAAATTCGAAGACGTCTGCGACCCGGACGGTACCGGGGCGAGACGATGAGGGATCGGGATCGCACCCCCCCCCCCCCNGGTTCCCCCTCCCCCCGATCTTCCCGGGGCGACACCCGGGCTCATCACCCGGGCGAAGAAAAAATTAACCTTGAGTTAAAAAACAAGAGCAAGGCAGAAGAGCCAGAGCCAGACAACGGTCAACATCTGTTGAAAAGGGGATCAACCGCGCCGTGGGGAGGGGGAGGGGGGGCGAGGAAGGGGGGTGACTGGAAGGTGCACCCTTGCAAGTGTACACTGTACTACCATACCATCTCTCCTCGGCAGGTCCTCGATCCGTCATCCATCGTTGCCAAATCGTCGTGTCCGCATCTTACTGAGACCCAGGAGCTCCTTGCTCCTCGGTGGCTCTCTAATTTGAAAAGCTCGATAATAATGAGGAAAAGCCGATTTTTGTATGCTACGAAC